AGCCGTCTATTTATTTGTCGAAATGAAAACCAGAAAATTTTATGTCAAATTATTTCATTAGGCACGTCTTTCTGATTATAATTTATTAGATTTTTTTATATTCACATTACATTCTAATAAATTGTAACCAGAAAAATCATTCACATTACAAAAAATGTAGAGACACTTTATGCTCTACAATGTATGTAATAGGTGCAAACACTATTAAACGCATACACCAGGAAGCGAAATATATTCAATACAATATCTTAGACACGGTAACCAGACGAAAACACACATTTTTGAGAATACGAAAAAAAGTTTATACAACTTTTCAGCCCTACCTTTCATTCTGTACCGTTATACCTTCTCATAAGAATGGAATTAAATATTGACTTAATAAAATTGGACGAAATAGTTTTTTTTTAACTTGACATGTTTTACTTACTACTATTGTCATCATTTTCGGTATAGAAGGTACATATACACATATGCATTGGAATAATGTATAAAAACCCACAAGGAATGGGAATAAAGGAAAATATACTTAATAAGATTTAGTGTGCTTAATATACCCCGGTTTTATTTATTTATTTGTTTATTAAGGAAAACATACAGCTTTTTATATCACATACTAGAGACTCATCCTCACTTCACTCGGGTTCGTCCCTAAATTAATTCCCCATACAAAATTTCATCACCACTTTCACACCCTTAAGGGATGATATCCGGGATAAAAACTATCCTATATATTCTCAGGGTCTCAAACTATCTTCTTACCAAATTTCATCTAAATCGGTGCAGTAGTTTCGGAGCCTATTCAGTACAAACAAACAAAAAATCAAATCTTTCCTCTATATAATATTACATACGAATAAAATTAATAACATTATACGTACATGACATGAACATACTGTACATGAGCCAAAACAGTTTTAACATGTAAAAAAAATATCTTATCTTTACTTTACACAGACAAACACGTGAATAATTACTAGATATACTATAAGAACTTCACTAAAAATATTAAATCAAGATGAACAAACTTATCTCAAACCGTTCCTTAGGCATCTAATCTAATGAGTCATTATTTATCATCACGATTCGGTCATTAATGGCGTCATTTTCCGTCTTACAAGAAAAGAATAATTGCAATGCCAAAATTAATAAGTATATTGTGGTCTTGATTTTAAACGAACGGTTATTTCAAATTCAGTAGTCTTATATATCTATAAATCAATGTGAACATCCTGAACTACATTTATTTTTCCTATTTAAATTACTCTATCACTTTGCCTATTAAAATATGTAGATCTGCAAGTATCTCGAAAAACAAAGATACGAAAGTGAAAAAACTATATGTATGTAGTATTTAGCGATATAACAGATGTTTGATTCCAAATTTAGACCAGCCAAAAGAATTCCGAGTCTAAACAGCCTTCATTCTTATGCATGAACGAAAATGCCTTCAAATTGTTGAAAAATATAATATTAATACAAGAGCATATTGTTTAACCTACATATTGTTAAACTTAACACAAAAATAGGTTTATGGGTGAAGATTATGCATATTGCATTACAATTAGAAAGAAAACTCTAAAATTGTAAGTATGTATTGTATCTCCAGAAAGTATATAATAATCGCAGATTTGCTTACAACTACTTTCGGATGTTTTTTTTTATTCAAGACCTAAAATAATTACTGAATTTTTAGGTCAATACGTCTGTGACGCACCAATCAGTTCATTACATCTAAGAAAATTCGAAGAACGTTTACCCAGCTGCGACAATAAAGACGCTATGAAGGAATTTCAATCATATTATAAAAACAAATGATATTGTTTAATAAAACATTAAGAATGCCATTACAAAATATTTATTAATATTATAAATACATCTGTCCGTTTGTTAGGTTTTGTGGTCAAATCGCTATTTTATATTGACAAAATTTGATACCCTAATACGGATAAAACAAGGAAAAGAGGATGAAACATTTTGATTTAATTTTTTTATCTATATATCCTTCCTTAACAATAGTAAACATTTATTGTATATCTTTATTCCTAGCTTAGAAAAAAAAAAAAAATTATTGCGAATATTGTTTATGCAAAAAATGTCTCATACATGCTATTGTTAATTTGGAATCAGTCTTTTTTAATGTCCCACTGCTGGACACGGGCATTCCTTCAATGCGAGAGGGATCAGGCCATAGTCCACCAAGCTGGCCAAAGTACCAAATCCCAAGGTTGGCGGACGTCACATGTCTTTCGAAAACTTGCTAGGTTCTATCAGACATGTAGGTTTTATGATGTTTTCCTTCATCGTACGACAAGTCGGAATCGTAATCACGAAAAAAATGGTTCGCATATGAAGATATTAAAGGTGGGAGACCCGTTTCACTCATTTTCCCAAGCGAGCGCGTTACCACTAAGCTACCACAGCCTTTTATTGTTAAATTAATGCTTGCTAATAATTTTCAACACATTCCATGTTTATGAATGTGTCATTTTCGCTATGTATATATGTAATAAAAAAATATACCTATGTATTTATATTATTTATAGAGACTAACCCTCGCTTCGCTCGAATTCGACGGCTTGTTTCCCAATAAAACTTTCATCCCCATTTTCATCCCGTTATGGGACGATTTCCGGGATAAAAAGTATCCTATGTCCTTCTCAGGGTCTCAAACTATCTTCTTACCAAATGTCATCTAAATCGGATCAGAAGATCCAGAGATTTTCCCCTACAACCTCACTAACTCATAAACTTTACCTCAAATTAATTGATTTTCATTGTAAATACTAGCGGCTCACCCTCGGTTCGCTCGGGTTCGTCGCTAGGTACGTTTTAAATAGGTATAAATGGTTATTAGCCAGTGTTAGCCATATAATTTTTTTTTCGTTAATTTTTCATTTTTTCTCTTTATTAAAACTTTACGTGTACCTTAAAGAACATACCAAAAAAATTTTGCTGATTTGGTCGAGCCGTTATCGAGTTTTGCGTTTAGCAATATTCATTTTTATTTATATAGATTTATGTTAGTTAATACTCTATTAACATTGCATTTAAAATATAAATGACTGTTATCACAAAATTGATATCCCATGTGCTGCAACTTCCGGACTAATATTATATCTTTTTAGTTTTATAAAATGTGATAGTTTGAAAAAATTGGAACTTTAGTAAATTAATTAATAAATATCGAGTCGAATTTTTAGACGAATTCTACTTTCGTATCCGTAAACGTATTCACAATATATACTACTTTTTACACCTATTGTTATTTAAAATGTCTAGAAACGTAAAATATTTACTACGATCATAAAATATTTTTAAGATTCTGACAAATGGATTTAAAAAAAAAACACTATGTGTGTGTCAACGTTAAGTCTAACTTTATCTATTAAAACTTCCTCCTTTTTATACGCCGCCGAATATTATAGGCGGTAAATTAATTCTTATTAAATGTTAATTCTCTCAATACATTCAAAACACATAAATTTAGTTAACGTCATAAAAAACTTTAAAAATAAAATAAAAATCATGGGTCCACTTGGACTGGACCTGAATGAATGAATGAATGAGAAAAATTGGAAAAAAATTTACAATGTACATATTATGTGCATACTTCTATTATGTACATAATCTATAGGTACTAGGCGCAGAACATGTGTATAAATGAGTGTTGTGAAAGTAGCTATTTTAAAGACTTTTTTTTAATACAACTTAAATACATAAATTTACAATAAATAACGATTAAAATTCTTTTTTTATGGATTTTGCAAATACTAACGTGCATATAATACATAATCAGTTTAAAGCAATCGTGGCATGATTTGATAAGATCATAATAAATTATAGAACGAAATGATTTATTTTTAGATAATGATAATTCATTTCATACTTGTAGTATGTGTACTTCACATTTTATTTTTATGCGTTCACAAATACCTTATAATTTTTTTAAAAATCCGTTACAACCGACTGCGTGAAAAGCGAATTAAAAAGAAGAAAACAAGTTAACAAAGAAAAAATAGTGATGCAGTCGGAGACAATATGTTTCATACTTGGTACAAGTATTGCTACGTACATCTATGTATATACTATAGACATAATAATAAATTTATATATGTCAATGTACCATTACAGGTCAAACACATAACCTTCCTTTAGGTTTCGCCGCAGTCGGGTAAAAATCAGAAACCATTTATTTACGCTATGCCTATATAAATATCATTGGGTTATTATCATTTATTTCTGTTTATTTAGTCCACAAAGAATATAAGATATTTAAATTATAATATTATGTTGGTTGCTGAGTGTTAATTTATTTTATAAATTAACCTGGCGTAAATTTAACAAAATGTTTATACTTCTAGACTCTAGTAATAAATAAAGTACTAAAATGTTTATAGTTTGTAGTACCTGTTAAAAATTTTTTGATAAAGGATTTTTTTACATAATATACATACCTACCTACATTTTCAATGAAGTGAGAAAGTATGAAGTATTTTAAGATGTTATTTCCGAAAAAAGAATATTATTTTATACAAATTCCACATACCTAATAGATATTTAAAAATTCTGTAGCAATACGTCGTCGACGTATTGACGATAGAAATGTGATAAAAAGTAAGCATGAATGGAAATACAAATAAATCAACCATAATATGTAACTTTAAATACAAAAGAAATTAGCATTATATCATAATTTTAAATAAAACTATGTTTCCTGATTTTTTTTTGCGGATTTATTTTGATTTCTGGTTCAGCATTTCGAATGCTTTACAGCAATCATGGTCACAGGAGAGACTAAGGTTTTAGACGTCTCAAAGATCGTTATATAGTTATACGCGGTAATATTACATGTACATTACCGTGGTTATATGGACAGCACTAGAAAGGTCGTGAACCAAAAACCATAATAAATTCGCGAAAAAAAACCGAAAAGATAGTTTTTATTTAAAATGTTAAATATATACATATTTTTATAAAACATAAAATCATTGTAAACTTACCATTGGGCGAATAAACACGCAAATTGATAGGCACCGGTGAGATTCCTTTGTTAGAGCCTGTAATGCGATCCGTCTCCGCCTCAATTTCTCCTCGCACTTCATTGAAATCCGTGAATTTTTTGCCTTTGCAGTGGAGAAATTCCGCATATTCTATGAGTAAAAAATGTGTATTACAAATATGTTTGTTTCTTTGGACAAGAAATAGATTTAAGTAAAATAATTAATATCCAAACATAATCTAACACTTCTGAAGAAGTTTAATGAATAAGAAATAGTAATATCCTGTGAATTATTCTATTATTTAAGTATTATTAAATAATTCAGCCGTTTCAACACCCTACTGCTGGGCACAGACCTGGTAAATTTAGTGGGATAGAGCCAGCTCACCATTCAAACTATGTGTGGATAGGTGAATGTTCAAATGTTGATAATGAATTTTTGAAAACTAGTTAAATCTGATGCAGGGAAGAGAAATGCAGATTTCCTCATAACATTTTCCTTTGCCGTATTAGGAATTAGTAATCACATTAAAAATGTAATCATTAAATAAAAACCTCTGAGGTACAAAACTTCAGAATGCAGGCAATGCTAGTAAGCTATATTACTGTAAAATTCCATTGAAATTCATTTAGTAGTATTTTTATGACAGATTAACAAACATCCATATATCCATTCATCTACCCTCCACACTGACAAACTTTCGTGTTCATAATATTAATAGGAGTAGGAAGTTAGGATATTTCCTATACCAGATGAAAGAAATCAGGAATGACTCCTCTGTTTTCTTCCATTAATAAACAACAATTTAAAACAATTTTGACTTTACAATTTCAATTCCTTTTTATAACCTCACAAAGGATGGTAGTAATTATAGTAATAGAGTGGTAGAATCAACAATTAGTTGTTTTTCACATTCAAATTACAAATGAAGGTTAATAGTTAATCTCGTAATGTAAAGTCATATTATTTTTGCATCTATCACATTAGTATTAAAACTTTTATATAATCAGATAATTAAACACCTCCAGATAAATTTCTAAGAAATCTATTGGTAACTGACACACCGGTGTGTCCGCAGTTGGGGAGGGATTAATATATCTTGATTACTGCACATTGATTACAAAGATTTCTTTAATTTAATATTTTTGTCTAACCTGCATTTCCATTAATAAGTTGTAGAATAAGTGGCCGACGAGTCACAATACCAGACCCACGAGGTAAAAAATCCCTAAAAAAATTACATTAAATTAGATAAACAATTAATGTTAAATAATGTGTCTTGTTGTGTTAGAAAATGTTTCTTAGTTTTTATGGTGCCTATATTTTAACGTTCAAATTCACAACACCAAGCTAGCCTTTTAACAAGTATCAGTTTCAAACACTACTTCCATATATGCTCAGAAATTATGTATTAAATTTAACAAGGTAAATGAAAAATAAAGAAGGTAATATCAATTAATAAAAGTATACAATAGATATTAATTCTAAAATATTGTGATTCACATGTAATTAATATGAAGAGATTATTCAACAACTCATTCAACATGTATGAATCATTATTAAATATAATACACTTTAAGTGAATGTCAAATATTAAAATTATAAAATAATAGATTTACAAACTTCAAACAAGATATATTTTCGTTATATTATTTTTTCAACATTTTTTATAACCAGAAGTCTATGTTAATTCTGCATTACAAAACTACTTTAGGTTCTTTATATCTTTTAGATATATATGTTGTATTCAATCTTTTTTAACATCCCACTGGTGGGCACGGGCCTCCCTTCAATACGAGGGGAATCAGGCCATAGTTCACAACGCCAGTTAAGTGCGAGTTGGCGGAGTTTCGAAAACTTGTTAGGTTCTCTCAGACATGCGGGTTTCCTCACGATATTTTCCTTCACGGTATCATATCATATATATGTTACATGAAATTTATTATTTAAAAATGTAAATCATTAATAACAGGACATTAAATACAATCATTGAAGACAAAGAACTTTTCTATTATCAAGTTAGTTCTCGACTATAATGATAACAACAATAGTATTTTTCTTTACCTTGATAATCATGTGTATGTTCCATTTAATTTAATTTTTAGAATTGTAAACAGCAATTTTGACATATTTTGACGTTATTCACTTTACTCAAAAATAATTCTTTTTGTCAAATAAACAACGTATCAAGCGATCTAACAGTCTATATTTGTCTTACTAGTAAAATAGTAAATTTAACTTATAACAATACTGTAATTAAAATGTAGCTTCAGGAATTTTTATTTGTCTTTTTATTTTTGAGGTGCTCACCTGCCTACAAAATTTTCTAGCACCGAACTTTTTCCAGCAGATTGACCACCCACAACTGCAATTTGTGGTAGATCTAAAGACATGTGCACGCCCATTGTAACAAATGCATCTTGCAATTTGTTCACAATTGGGATCAGTTGTTGCATTCCAAAATTTCCAGCCATTTTTGCTTATTTACATGAATTCAAGACCACAAAATCACTGATTACTTGCTCATCGTCTATACTTCACATCATCGATAAACTAATTTATTTTTCAATATGGTGGTTTGTGGGTGGTTATGGTAACGCTACGTTCCATTGTACGTAATAAAATGATAACAGTAGAACTTGGATTGACAATGAAAGGTTACGTTCGTTTTTAAATTATGTTTATGATTTTTTTATATACACAACACTTTTCGGATGTCGTTGGACATATATTATTAAAGTTTCTATTCTAAATACTCTCTCTTTCTCTCTCTGGATATTTTTTTTCTATTTAAAAAAGTTAAGTTATATTCAATACTATGTATATACATATCAAAATCATCCTATAATATATAAATAAAAACATCTCGTTCAATGATTTATAAGATCAATACTGCGTGACATGCGCACTAAATATAGGACAGATATACGTTACTATTATGACACTAAATACTAAAATATATAGAAAAAATATATATTAAAAGAAAAATCTTAGCTACTGCAAAGTTTACAAGGCTAAGAAAATATCAAAAAATATAATATATTTTTTACAATTTCTTTAAATATATATATATATATATATATATATATATATATATATAATTAAGTTTAAAACATCAATGGATTTTATTTTTATTATAAAGTATAACAATAGCAGTGCTTAATCTATACATCTACGTTTAATTATTAACTCTTACGCAATTAAGATTTATACAATTTTTTTACGAATTTAATATATAATTATAGTATTGTTCACGTGGTATAGTATTGTTCATACATTATTTTAATCTATATCATATCAAGACTCACCTGCCTACAAAATTTTCAAGCACTGAACTCTTCCCTGCTGATTGACCTCCAACAACAGCTATCTGAGGCAGGTCCAACTGCATGTGCACTCCCAACTGTGTAAAAGCATCTTGCAGCTTATTAACAATTGGGATCAATTGTTCCATGCCCATATTACCCGACATGGCTGCCGGTTTTCTCAAAAACTCCTCGATTTATGAACTTCCTCGCAGATCTTCGCTTACTGAATTTCTCTCATCAATATGATATAAATTCTTTTTGCGCATGCGTAAGTTTAGTGAGCGGTTAGATGTGTGTCTATCTCAACTGAAGCTGTATTGAATAAATTTATATTACTGCCTTTTTTTATGTCAATAAGAACCATAAGTGTGCTGAAATTTTATATGTGGTTTATATTTATGTTAATAGTAGATTACTATGAAAAATCTACATGAGTAAAAAAATCTCATATATGTATGTTTCATAATGCTGCATATATCTACTTTAAGTTTTGATTAGGAGTAAGTTTATAGTAACTAGTATTTTTAAATTATTATTTTAGAACATTTCTCTCTTTTTTGTTTCCTGATTGACGACACGTTTGCCTTAGGTTGTATTGACCCTACTTGCTGCGCCAGCGGTCACGAGTTTGAATTCCGCTAGAGGCATTCATTTGTGTGATGAACACGAATGTTTGTACTCCAGTCATGAGTGGATATATTTATAATATGTATGTATATAAAGTTGTATATATGTGTAGTGTATCAACTATCTGGTATCCATTACACAAGCCTCGTAGCTTGCCATGGAACTAGATGGTGCTGTGTGTTAATATCCCAACATATTTATTTATCTATTCTCTTTGTTTGATAAACTATTGCAACAAGCAATTTACGCTCGCAAGTAATGAGTACAACATATTTAGTTTAATTGCTTTACTAAATTGTATTCAGACCTTTTTTAATGTCCTAACGCAAAGGGGGATCAGGCCATAGTAGCTACACCATACTGGCCAAGTGTGTGTTGCAAGCCCACAGGTCTTTTGTAAACTTGTTATGTTCTCTCAGACATACAGGTTTCTTCGATGTTTTTTTTCACCATAAGATAAGAAAAAAAATTGTGTGTTGCAAAACAAATAGACTATAGCCTTTTTTTAACGGAATCCCCCATCCCTCTTGGTTCTTCCCCCATTTTGAAGGCGTTTACGTCATGAGACTGTAACCAGCAATAATACATATTCTACTACTGTTGGTAAGATAAGACTTCTCTTTCTTCTTCTTCTGTAATTGTTGACGCAACTAACTTGATACAAACAAATATTGCTGAATGGTCTATGCAAGTAACGATTGTGATTGACAATGTTACTTATCTAACAGAAGGTAGTAACAGTTCTGTAACTATATATTTATGTATTATAACTACATGTACAATGCATTCTATAGATATTATCGGTCGAAGTCAGTTGTGACTTGCCCATAGAGAATCTGTTATTCACCTGTGATTTTATAGAAATTATCCAGTTCTGCTATATGAAAAACTAAATTGTATTAAACTCAATAGCGACTATAAATCTACATCAAATTATTTTAACAAAATCCCGGTAAGGAAATAATGGTTATCATCTCTTTCATTACACTCTGTTAACAGTTCTCGTTAGTTCTAAAGTTAGCTACTAGAATAAAACTTCAAAAAAAACTGTATAATTAGGATATGTAATCACTGAAAATTGTTTTTATTAAAAACATGTTACAAGGTTGCTGAAAGTGTGTAGAGCTAACGTATGTCAAATTCCAAAATTTATTTTGAACGCAACCAAACTTGCTTTTCAATGTTTTCCTGTAGAGTGCGTTGGATCGCGTCTTTGTGACGTCACGCTATTGATTGTAAAGGAGATCGTCTTTTGGAGACGCCATCTTAAAATAAAGTGATATAAGTTTTGGTAGTGTAGATTATAAAAAAAATCTGAAGTAATCTTCTTTTGTAAATTAGCATTTGAGCTTAGATAATTTTATTATATTAATAACAAGTGTAACGGACCAAGGTACTAGTGTATTTTGCTTTTGTTATTTCTCTAAGAGATTAAATTTACTTTGTTATTTACCGTTCTTCTGCTTGTATTTTATTAGTACCGTTATTACCGAGTATGTCGTTATTGCTGAAGAAGAATTAACAGTTACGAAAGTGTAATATATTTTAAAAGTAAAATTAGGGAATCATCGATCCAGCGTCCGTTCAGCCTACGGATGTAACACGTCAATATACTTCTGAGGGCAGGGCTCTTATTCGTCCTATCATTAGTGCTGTGAAAGTGTTTTTATTGTGGCGCATTGTAAAATTACATTTAAGTGTTATAATAAAATAAAATTTCTGCCAACGGAACTGTGCAGTGAATTGAAGTAAAGAATTTTTTTGTGAAGGACATGTCTTTGTGATTGACTGTTTAGTTTGGTGAGATCTTTTACGCTTGAATTAGTGTGTATCGTGTCGGTTCTACTGGTTACAGTTGGTGGTCGGTGCGAGGGTGACCTCCTGATGGTGTGTACATCGCAGCATGTCTGCACTCTCGACGCCGGGCGGCGGAGGCACTACGGCGCAGAGCAAGCCGACGTCCGGCAAGCAAAAATATCAGAAATTGGACATCAATAGTCTGTATTGCGCCAACAGGGTATGTAATTAAAATTCCGAGCTTATAAAATATGTTCCATTTAATTTGCCACTATACCTTTCTAATAAGTGATGAAGAAGCTGATATCTAAATTGTGCACAAATACATATATCTCAAAGTATTGTTTTTGTACAGCCATTTGTTACTAAATATTTTGTTCAATTATATGGGCTGTGAATTGTGTAAAAAACTGATTTAGAAAGGTAATTTTAGATACTAAGAAATCACTACTTTTAGTGCACACTTTTATAATATTTAGGACACTGGAGTAACTTGAGTGAGTCAACCTTCATTAATTTACAAAGACCAGTTATTGCAACTATATTTATTTCACATTGGTAACTTCCTTACCAGCAGAATATTCAAATATATTCATGTTTTTAATTTTCTTTGTTTCTTGAATGAAAGAGGTCAATGACCTGATAAAATGACCTTGTCTATAGATGTATTCTTGATTATTTAAAAATAATGCAATGAATGGACAGTTTTGTGTCTTATTATAATTATAAAAATACACAAATATATATATTATTATTTTTTTCATATCCTTATAAGAAATTAGTAAAAATGCTAGTTTTTGGTTTATATTTATTAAAGAAATGAATTGTTTTTAGAATGAAAACTCAGAACCGTCCTCAGTAAAATCTCAACTTAGCCGTAAACATGGAATGCAAAGTCTTGGAAAAGTACCTTCAGCTAGGCGCCCACCAGCCAATCTTCCTTCATTGAAAACTGAAACTGGTCAAGATCCAAACGCGAAGTGGGTTTTGTTTATTAATCAATTTATCTTAGATGAAATCAATATTTCAGATTCTTATTTAATTTCGGTAATTTCAGTTCTATATCAGCTGTAACTACAACAGTATCAACTCCAGCAACATGCGCCTCTCAGACTGTAGTAAGTTTTTTCCTATTTTATTTTATAAAGTACATTAATAATATATATGAATTTGTTCATACTATACCATAAATTTGAGACCTGCTGACATTTTTCATTTGCTTGATTTAAGTATGTTTTTACTAAAATAGCATACTTATATAATATTGTAAGAATGTTTTATTTCTTGTATTTTCTTGTTGTATTTTTGTTATTAATGTTGGAGATTATTTAATAATTATGTTATTAGGAAAGAAAGCTATTATTTTTACAACTGTTTATGTACGTTTAGATAACCTCTTCGAACAGCAGTGTGATTGCGGGAACAGGTTCAGGAGGATGGGTACCACTGCCCCCACCCTCTTCACCTCACTTTCGAACAGAATTTCCTTCACTAGAGGCTTCAGCTCAACCTTCACACCGATCTTCAGATCATTCTGTGCCTCAAACACAACTCAGACCACAAAGTAAGTTTGTTCAAATAAAATAAATATAGTAATTAAAATAAATTAAAACTGATATTATACATATTAGTAATTGGTTTTTAAAATAGTCACAATATTGCATATTATGCAGTATAAGTATATAATATAAAGTACTTTTAAAAAAATACTATAGAGGTGTTTAAAAGTAATTTTAAAGTAAACTTAGTTGTGTATGACAAATCATTCATAAATAATTCTTGTAGCAGAAGGCAGCTGGACGTGCGGTGGCACGGTCGGCGTTCGGCAAGAAACTACATCGTCACCCGCCGTCGCGCCCGCCTCCACGCCTGCTTCACAGCAAACACCCGCTTTCCGTGCTATTCTGCCATCCTTCGTATGTATACCAGACATTCTACATTTTAACAATTCATCTTGACTCTTCTTTTTATATGTCTTTATTTAAATAAAATACTAATTATTTCATAAATATTTTTTTTCACTAAATGATAAAAACTTTTATACAGCTGATGAAAGGTAGCGGTGGTACTGGACTTGGATTGGGAAATTTAAGCTCACTTCGTGATAATAGAAGTGGTAACAGTGGCAACAGTAGTAATTCCAGTAATAACATGGGCTCAAGGCCCACGCCACGAGCTCCGGCCACACCTCGAGCCGTTGAAGTGTTAACCGCACGCCCGATTTTACGGGAGGAACAAATATCTTCTTTAGACGATATTTCTCGTGATGCAGGATGGGCGCAACATGACGATATAGACTACGAGTAATTTTTTTATCTATTTATAAATATATTTATTTGAATATATAATTACATCTGTAATATTATAATTAAATTCTTTTCTTTCCAGTCAGAAACTTGACTTCTCTGATTGTGAGTCATCAACTCCAAGTACGAAAGTCAGTAATAAAAATAACCGGGCCAGTATTGACAGTGAACGCATGGATTCTAAGATACAGGATCCTGGCGACGAGGAGCAGCTATGGGCAGAACGTCGCCAAAAACAAAGCAATGAAGTTGCTCAAGCGGTCGCGCGAGCACGACAACGTAAGGAAGAGGAGCAGAGACGGCAAATGCGTGACTCGCCAGCCTCCCAATCTATGAAAGATAACCGTGATAAAGGAGACAGAGATCGAGATCGCAATGACAATAGAGAGCGAGAATCTGAATCCAGGGAAAAAGATAGGATCGACAATAGAGATAAAGAACGAACAGAAAATAAAGATAAAGAAAGAAGCGACATGCGCGATAGGGACCCTAGGGATAAGGATCGACTGGATAATAGAGACCGTGATCGTATGGACAATCGAGATCGGTATGACCGTGACCGTGACCGCGACCGTGACCGAGAGCGCGACCGCGACCGGGAGCGCGATCGCGACCGCGATAGAGACAGAATGATGGACAGCAAAGATAGAGCACGACCTGATAATAGAGATCGCGCTGATGATAAGGATAGAGATATACGAGATAGAGATCGTAATGACAACCGTGACCGCAATGATAACAGAGATCGAATAGAGCGTGATAGGTATGATAGAGATCGTAATGATCGAGACCGTGATCGTTTAGACAGAGAGAGGGTCGAACGTGACCGAGATCGCGATCGTGAGCGTGAACGTGATCGCGACCGAGATCGTGAGCGTGATCGCGACCGCGAACGGGATTTTAGAGACCGAGAAAGAGACTACCCACGTGACCGAGATCGTGATCAATCAAATCCGCCTTTTTCAAAAACATTTCAAGCAAATATACCTCCACGCTTTTTAAGACAGCAGCAAAATAGACAGCAAGAGGATCCTCACAAAGCGTGGGCGTTTACCGGGAAACCAGCTCCAAGACGTCAAGAACCACCCCCATATAATCCTCCTCGTCACACATCACACAACGGTCGCCGTTCATATTCTAGGTAAATTATATAAGTAGTATTTATTTCACTAAACGTTACCATAATTCTAATGTTTAACATTACCTCATTGTTTATTTCATTCCGTTTCAGAGATTATTCTGATCGAGAAGATGATGTAAGGAGAGACAAAGATGGCTCTGGCCCGCAATGGCGATCAGAAATGCAGGACTATGATAGATCGGGACGAGAATTAGACAGATCCAATTCTAAAGAATCTTATAAAGACTTCAATGAATATAAAGATAGAAGAAATGATTCTGATAGAAAATCATTAGATTCCGCTATTGAACATAGTAGCAGAACAGCAGCTGATAAATTAACAGAAGTTTTTGAGAGAAAAAGTATTGGACTAACTGAGCCATTTGCAGCCAATACAGATACCAACGCGACTATACCAACGCAAACTCCTGAAAGACGAACAACGCCGCCCTCGAATACTTCCCAACGTGACTCGTTTGAAAAAGATTTCGGCAAAGCGTCATGGGCTGAAGTGGCTCAAGAAGAGCAAATGGCCTCGGCAGCTAAAATATCTTTAGAAAAAGAAGCATCACTAAAACAAAATGAACACAAAAATGATTCTTTGAATACTGATGCTACTGATACAATAAAAACATCACAAAACTTAAATAATACCAGTAGTAACATACACACAAATCTCAGCACACAAAATCAAAGTAATAATTTCCATAATAATCACAGTTCTAACGCGCAATCAGTAAATCCTCAAATTCAGCAAACTCCCATTACTAACACTCAAGTAAACATTCATAGTGCAACAATCTCTTCTACTAATCAATCTCAAACTTCAATATTTACTGACTCTCATTCTATTTCAAAGTCTAATTTAAATCAATCTCTTCCTAAAACTATCAATTCTGCTGAAACATCTCAAATACAGAAACCTCTATTATCAGAACAATTAACAAGCACTGTTAAATCGACAGTTCCTATTCAAAAGTCTGAAAAAGAATATTCAGAAACAGAATCTGTTGCATCAAAATCAAGTATCGACCCATCTGGAATAACAGGGATTAAGCTGACTGATTCAAATTCTATTGAGAACATTCAAGATTCTCAGAAGAGATGTTTGGATGACAAAAAGAATGAAAGATACAGCAATGAACAATTGAATAAGATGCCAACTAAGGAGCCAGTTGAAAGAAAATCAAGTGGATCGGGATCTGAAAAGAAAGGAAGGGGGTATAGTAGTAGTGGTTATGTTTATAGTAGAGGTTGGGGATCAAGAGAATCTCGTGGACGTCGCTCACACCGTAGCTCTCGTTCAAATAATAGAGCTAGTGAGTCCGATGGTTCTACTGACGGTACTCATGTAGAACGCAAGGAACGTCGGAGAGCTCCTCGCAGCCCACGTGGTCCCAAAAAACAAGATAGACCAGATGACGCAAACCTGGCAAATACTGAACAGGGGACTACAGTTATTGATGGCTTAGAAAATAGAGAGCCATTTGCACCACGTGGGCAACCCTCTCGCCGAGGGAGGGGTGGTTTTCAAGGTACCAACAGGCCACCTGCACCCGCTAAACGTGTTACTGGATACGGCCCACCAAATACAAAGAGTCCATTTAGTCAAGCTAATAGAGTAAAGGATGAGGATATTAAAGACAATTTTCAAGATGATAAAGAAAAAGGCAATAATAAAACGCGCCCCAGTTCGTCCGCTGGTAAAGGACGTGATCGTCGCACAAAAGGTATGGGTGGCCCGCATAGTGGTGAAGATGAAAATTGGGAAACAACTTCAGAACATTCTGAAAGTGGAGGGGCGGGAAATCGGCGCTCTAACGGGGGAAGACAATCTGCTCAATCTCAAAAAGGAGCTGGTCATAATCGTACTCCCAATTCTAGCAACCGACAAAACAATGGACGTAATCAGCAGGCAGCTAAAAAAGAAGATGAAAACAAAACTGACATTACAGAGGCTATTAGTGATCTTAAGTTATCAACTGCCAAGAAAGATGAAGAAATTGCCGATGATGGATTCCAAAAAGTCCTGAACAAAAAGAACTCAAAGGAAACTAGAGTGTCTAATATTAAAGAAGAAAAGCAACCCAGATCTAGATCCAACCAGGGCGGTGGTCGTAATGGTTCCTCCTCGAGAAATCCAAATGATAAGTCGAATTCCCGTGGATCAGCCCCAGTTACTAGTAAACCCAGCGCACAATATGATCGACCGCGTCAAGCTAACTTGGCGCCTCGATTTGTTAAGCAAAGGCAAAAGCAACAAATGGGTTTGGTGTCTAATTTTGGTCCAGACACCGGGGCTGCTCCTCCTCCACCACCAGTTAATGCATGGGATAAGCCAATTTCTCAAACTTTGCGCGGTAATATTGAGGAGCCTGTAGAAGTTATTGAGACCAAGTCAAACCAATCAAGCCAACGAAGCACTCCTGGAGAAACATCCAACGAAAATAAAGCTGCAGTACCACCTTGCCCACTTGTGACTGATAAGACCGGCGTTCTCGATGGATCGACTCCACCTGTAGAGACCATTATATTTGAAAATACAAATTATAAGACTGCTCCCCCTGCTGAAGCACTGAAACAAAAATATCAACCCAGTGCAGCCACTGCCAAACCCCAAGAAGAAGTTCAAAATGAAATGGAACCGAGAACCTTACCCTTTAACGGAGATGTTAGGCCGCGCCCGAGGTCTATTCAAGAACTTATGGCAGAAACTGGTAGACCAGTGTCAGAAGCTGAAGGCACATTGGGTCTCCCAATGTCCTTTGATACATCTCAAAAAACTGAAGACTCTTCTGATATGAAACTTGATTTTGCGTTTGACTCAGATCTTGGTCAACTTACAGAAGATAAATCTACAAAAGCTCTTGGCCTACCACGCGGGACGCATATGAGCACTTCCAATACTATTTCTCCACTGGCGGCGGATCTCAATTTAAAGATCGCCAGTGTGAAAAAAGTTTGGGAAATGCCGGCTGTGGCTGAAGGCAGTGAAGAGTTACAGTTTGCTGGTTTTGAGGAGAATAACACCGAAACTGGTGCTCCTCCCAATGTTTGTAAAGTGAAGCCAACGCAACAATTACAGTCTCCTCCGCCTCAACATTATAATCATGTTAGTTATCAGGGAGGCTATGGCGGCCTTTCTGTTCCATCACCACCAGCTGTGTTATTTAACTCTTCGCAGCAAATACTAGGTTCCTCTCAACAGCTGCAACAACAAGGGGGGTTGTATGGTGCATTTTTGGACCAAACTCGTGGACAATTTGGTGGATTCCCTGGAACTCCATATGGTGCTGGCTCAGCTACTCCATATAATTATCAACCTCCACCAGACATGTTCCAGAGTTTACCAAGCCAGTATCGCATGGTAAGAATATTTAATTAATATATAGAGTTCTGATCAGTGAAATTGAAATATATGAATAGTCTTTCAGTATTTAATGCTAACACTTGTAATTTTCCTTTAAAGTTTAAGATTATCAAATATAGCGTTTTATAATTCCTACTTTTCTGTGATATTTAAAAAAAATAATATTGTAATCTGTTGTACTAATTGATTGGCAACACTACCTCAAGAACTGCTTAATAAATATAAATGCGTAGTGAATTTATTTTTTCCCATGCCATAAGGTATGTGGATACAAAATTATATTAAGATTGGTAAAATCGTTGAAGCTATGAAAAGACACAAATGATCTCCCTGTTTAATGTATAATATAACTTAGTACAGCTATACTCAACCTGTGGCCCGCCGTGCTTTTGTTATTGGCCCATCTGAAGTTACATCTCAGAGTTGGCTTTCGTTTTAAATTGTAATTATTCAGAGTTGTTTGATGAGTTCATCGACTTTGAAAACGATACCAATCTAGAAGTTCTGTTTAAAGAAAAAAGGGAAAACAGAATATGTGGAATTTTGGAGTATTGTTCCCCAAAAATATAAAAGCGTCCAAAGATGTGCCCAAATCCTATTAACATTCTTTGGGTCTACGTATGTGTGCGAATCGTCTTTTTCTAAAACGAAATACACAAAGAACGTTTACAGAAACAATCTTACAGATTCTCATCTGGATGATGTTATAAGGATAGCGTGTAGCAACAAGCCAGATCTTGATAAATTTTGAGAAAGTGTTTACAGTATTAAAAATCGCATTAAAACATATAAACATCTTTGTTAAAACAGTAACTACATCGTTAACTTGGAATTAAGTTTTAAAATAATTTTTGCTTGCGGCCCTCGACGCCATGACTGAAACTTGTTTGTGGCCCCTATAAAAAAAAAGGTTGAATATGGCTGACTTAGTATTAGAAAACTTAGACCTAAAAATGTAGCCAATCTTAAAAAATTATAAATCTCTTAGTAAACATCTATATTTGTACATGTAATAAAAAACTGATATTGGTCATAATAACTTTGTAAGAATTAGGAATATTATTTATTTATTTATTTATTTTTACATCCAATTAGAACGGCGGCGCCACTTACACTAACTAGATTATACATTATAAATTATTACAAACATAAAATACACAAACAAAACATAAGTAAATATTACTTGGGTTCTGAGAGCATGCTGAGAATATCGAATAGCCCCGTTTAATAACAGGGTTATTCAATATTCTCAGCATACCTCAGCAACTCAGAGACCAAAGTTGACCACTTATTATGACTACTCCGAACTTTTTGAAATTTATCCAGCTACCTACTTATTTTCAGGCTGCGGCGGCCGGCGGCGGTGCAGCATTTGGACAATCGGGACAGTTAGGAAACAGTCCAAGCACTGTTTTGATTTCAAGCACATCTAATTCACTGATGTCTGCTACAGTTAAACCTTCGACTCAACAGATTGGCGCCATAGGTATATTTGTATTTTATTTTTAAAGTGAAACCTGCTCTTGTTTTAACACATTAGTAACTACACCGTCAGTGAGTAACTTTTCGCATTAATAATGAAAAAACCACATATTTATCCTGGGATAAAACATAGCCGTTGTCACTCTAAAACTACTCAACTGGCTGTTATTAGTGAAAAAAAAATCAGAATCGGATCAGTAGCTCTGAAGTATACCTTCATCCAAATTTACAAATTTGGCCTTTTTATAATATTAGTGTAGATTTATAATTCACCTGTATAACAAATTAAGAATGATTAATTAAATAATGGTTTAAAATAATTACAATCGGTAATAATCATAAAAACAAACAAAAGGGCATATATGTATGCGTAAAAAGAATCATTTAATATTAACGAAACAGGTAGTAAAGGCGGCGGCGTAGGGGGAGTTGGCGGTGTCGGCGGAGTGAATACGTTCCAGCAGCAGTACCTTGGATACTCAGGGCCAGTGGGGGAGGCGCCCTACTCCCTGCCAGGGCTGCTGCCGCGCCCCGCGCCGCCGGCCACGTCCTACTACTCGCCATACCAACCGCCCGCCGCGCCCGCGCCCACCTACCCGCTGCAGTTCACGCAGCCCGCGCAGTCTAGCGCCTTCAGCTCACAGTTCCTGTCTTCCGCTGCTCAGCTGCACGTTGCTGCTGCGGTTCAGCAAATGCAGGTAAATGTAATGGTAGTTATTTTTTAATAACAGTATTTACTTATAAATTATATTTTTTTAGTTGCATCCAGTACATACAATAGCATATGTATTACTTCAAGTCATAGTCTATCTGTGTATTAATTTTAAATACAAACTGTCCCATTTATAACTGTAGTCTGATAATCTATACATATAATAAAATTGTAACTAAGCCAAATCTGTACATGAGATATTTTTGGAAAATCTCATTGAAATATACATTATTATCGATACAGAGGCCGAATCTATAGTTTTTAGAATTTTCGTCTCTCTGTCTGTTATCGCATCACAGAAAAACCACTGGAGGGATTTTGATGAAATTTAGTATGGTGATAGCTGGTTATCCGGGTCAACATAAAGGATACTTTTTACCGCGGGAAAATATCTCATTTCTGAGAAAAAATACAAAAACTGTGATGTAAGAGTATACTAATATGTAAAACCTAAGAATTTGGTTTTTGGTCAGCTGAACGCGGTCGGAGCCACGGCCAATGCTACTAATATATATGTAAAGAACGAAACTTACATAAACGAACTTTTATCGACAGTCATTTTAGTGAGTCAGTTATTCAAGTTCTACTCTGCAAATACCTTCTCAACTATAATTAGTATTCCAGTAAATTCATATTTTGTGTCTATGCAAAAATCTAACTATCTATACTAATGTTATAAAGAGGTAAAGTTTGTGAGTTTGTGACGTTGTAGGGGGTAATCTCTGGATTTACTGACATAGGATACTTTTTATTCCGGATATCATCCCTTAAGGGGGTGTAAATGGGGATGAAAGTTTGTATTGTGAATCAAGCTAGGGACGAACCCGAGTAAAGCGAAGGTGAGTCGCTAGTGTAAAATAAATTGGTAACTTCTACATACATTTGAAATTTGAGAAACTAAAAATAATTGATCATGGACATTATTTAATCTACTGTAAATATACGCAGTGGTAACGCGCGCGCTTGAGACCGACTGCACCGAGTGAAACGGGTTCAAATCCGGGGTCTCGCACCTCTGATATTTTCATGTGCGAATAATTTATAACATGATAACCACTAGTCTTACGGTGAAGGAAAACATCAGGAGGAAACCTGCATGTCTTGGAGAACCTAGCAAATTTTCGAAAGACATGTGAAGTCCGCCAACCCGCACTTGGCCAGAGTGGTGCACTATGGCCTGATCTCCGTCGTATGGAAGGGAGGCCCGAGCCCAGCAGTGGGACGTTAAAATAAAAAAGGGCTGAATACAAATATCTTCACCATGTTCCCCTTGTGCTCATAGCAAAAATAGAAGTTTGTTGGTTAAAAAACTAAATAAAGAAAATTTGTCAACAGCAACAGTACCGGGCTCCACCATTGCAACAACAATACGCGCCACAACCTCAGCCACGGCCGCCGCCACAGCAGCTCAAGAGTCCGCTACACGAGCACCCTAACGGGTTCACCCCATTGTGCGACTCCGCGTCCCCCACCCCCAAGGGGGTGGCCAAGCCACAGAAGCCGCCGCACTCACCGCCGCAGCACAAGTACCACGCGCCGCCGCCGCACGCGCACCCGCAGCACCCGCCGCCCTCGCACACCCCCCACCAGCACCACCAGCAACACCAGCAGCACCAACAACATCAGCAACACCAACAGCACCAGCAACATCAGCAAGTATGTTACTATTATTTTAATATTTTATTAGTACTGATTTTTTGCTCACGTGCTATGATGCTATCTATGTTTTGGAAACCTTATTTCTTTAACAAGATAAAAGTAGCCAGTCTCATTTTCACCTAAATCCTGAATGAATGTTTGTCAATGAAAGTAGAGTGGAACCTTAAAAAAATGTTGCAATTGTTGTTTAACAAAATCGAACAGATTTTCCCACCCACATGCTTTGTCCACAAGCACTGTGTCACATTTTTCGTATGTACCCTACATACGACATAATTTATGTTGTACAGCGCTCGTGGAAACATTGTCTATTATTATTTAAAAATGTTATTCAAAATTATAATCTCTTTGAACTGTCTCAGTAAACACTATTCTAATTCAAAGAAGTTTCTGTTCCAGCAGATCGTCGGCAGCGGCAACAACGGGCGCGGCGGCAACGGCTCGGGCAACGGCAACATGAGTCGCGGCGGGCTCGTGTCGCGCTACCCCGCGCCAATACAGCGGCCCCCCATCACAATGTACCGCGCGCCGCTCGCCCCCGCCGCCGCGCCCCGGACGCACCACGCGCAACATAACCGACCTAATCTATACTATCATCATCATCAACGCAGTGAGTTGCACCTAATTATGTATTGTCTTGTATTCAGCCCTTTTTAACGTCCCACCGCTGGGCACGTGCCTCCCTTCACTTCGAGGGGGATCAGGCCATAGTCCACCACGCTGGAAAAATGCGGGTTGGCAAACTTTTCATGTCTTTCGAAAACTTGCTAGGTTCTCTCAGACATGCAAGTTTCCTCACGATGTTTTCCTTCATCGTAAGGCAAGTGGTAATAATGTTAGAAATGTGTGAATTACATGAAAATATCACAGGTGCGAGACCCGGGATTTGAACCCGCTTCACTCGGCTTCCCAAGCGAGCGCGTTACCACTGGGCTACCCCTGCCTTTGCATTGTCTTACGGTGAAGGAAGACATCGTGAGGAAACCTGCATGTCAGAGAACCAAGCAAGTTTTCGGAGGACATATGAAGTCCGCCAACCCGCACTTGGCCACCAACGTGGTCGCCTATGGCCTGATCCCCCTTGTATTGACGGAAGGCCCGTGCCCAGCAGTGGAACTTTAAAAAGGGCTGAATACAATATGTGAATAGCGTTCCTAGACTAATAATAGCCGATCAAGTAAATTGACACCCATTTTTTCGAGTTAAAATTATTATGATTTCTGACACATTTTAGCACTACTCTTCTTCTTGCAAAGATTATAACAACTTACACAATTTACCTCTTTATAATATTTATGTAGATAATACTAACAAGTGTATACCTGATTTAACAGTAGACTTCATGTTACTATAGATTATACTCAGCCATCTACTTAATCACATCCAAATCCGTCCAGCCGTTTCAGCGTAAAATAGTAACAAAATACATACTAACTTTCGCTTTTACGTCTAAGCCCTATGATGCAATTTGAGCACTATATTGCATCAGCAATTTACTGGAACCTTGTAATTTATCAAATTAGCATCAAAGCAACAAGGTGAAGTGCATAATGAAGGTGATTAATTATAAAATCCATATATCATAAATCTAGGTTTATCAAGAACTACATTTAGTAATTCTTTGAACTTGAACAATATTATTTATAAACAACATGGTGCATAAATTTATAAAGCGTAATTTTTAGGTCTGGCTTTATAATATTTGGGGGCGAAAATTAAGCACATAAAAAATATATGAGGAATATTTTTTACATATAGTATATTCAAATATAAATATGTATTTCTTTCTATATACCTAACATTCATCTGGTGTATCGAAAAAATAAAAATATTTATATTGTATTTATAGATGGCGGAGGAGGATCTGAACGCGTCGCGGAGGGGGTAGAGGTGGTCCCCAGCGTGGAGGAGAGCGGGGACAGCGCGCCCGCGGGCGACGCGCCGCCGCCCGCCGAAGTGAAGGCCGAGTGAGCGCAGCCATTGCCCACCATCGCCTCACCATGTCTGACTTAGTTTCTCGGTATTTTAAGTCGTAAATTATGAAAGTGATCTATTATTGTTTAAGATTCGTACGACGATTCGTGCTCCGCTGCGGCGCGGGCCGGCCGCTGTCTGGCGCCTCGTTTGTTTGTATGTAAATATATTGATCGGACTGACATCCGAATGTCTATTTGACTGTTATATTTTAAGTATATATGTATAAAAGCGAACGGTCGACGCCCTCACCGCGTCCGACCGACGCATCGTGGGCTTCTACCAGAGCTGCCTCGAGACCTCTCACTAGCGAATATGTAGCCACGTTTTGCATAACGAATGTCGATGCAATATAAATAAATAATAATGTAATTTGGAACGAAGTAGCTAAGTGACGCTCGCCGTCTAATGACCGGTGCGCAATTGCGCTCCATGTATCATAATCAATTATTATATGCGAATAAAATTATTATGACCGAGTATATTTCTCTTATTTATACTACTGACACCTAGTTTATTTTCCCTTGTTATTTAAATATTTATGTATTTTCAATAATTTGGAAATATAAGTTTAACCCTATATTAGTGGATCTGATCTGTTAACGACATTGTATCTTCTGTATACTTATAAATAGCAGATTGTGATATATTTATTGGTTACATGTTAGTTGCCGTTTATATTTTCAAAAAAATAATGTTATTTAACAGGTCCAAAAATATTTTGGTCGGTTTTGAATGAAATATTAAAAAAAATATGAATCGCATAAATAACATAACATGTAAAAAATGCAAGTCTCGCAACGCAGTTCTTCTACCGCAAACAGTTTTGAGATTTAATGTAAAACCAAGTTGGTTAATTTATTCAGTACCCATATATGGAAGCATCTATCCAATAACTTTGTCATAAATTGTTACCTAATTCGTTAAATAACATTTTATAGAAACCGTATCAATATTAGATATCTTTATTTCTTTAATAAATAGAATGACTTGGCCATTACACATGGCAAATAAAAAAAATTACCTAATACTAGCGTACTGAACGCATTATTTATGTTGTTCAATAAGAACTATTTAAAATAGCGGATTGGTTTTGTGATTATGTTTCTGTACGTTGACAAAGTCTTTCTATATATTAAAGAATAAAAGATTGCTGAGGATTGCTGATAAAGAAACTGCTGTGCTCCTGCCAATTCGAGCATTAAAGCATACAGTTGAGATTTAAGTTTGGAATGAATATTACTATTTAAAATTTGAAAGACATCTTAATATTTGTAAATGACGATTGTACTTACTCTTCTAATTTGCACGTATACTTATATTCCTCAGTAGAATTTCACACAATAAGAACTTAATCAATTTCGTGGAACTATTACTTGGCAATTGGCATATAGACAATGCACCTTGTGCGAAATTTAAAAGTAACAGAAAATAAAGCGAATTACATGAGAATGGTTAAAAAGAATTAAGAAAATAAAACATTATAAACATTGTATCTTATTTCTTTTAATTTTTCCTAACAACTCTAACCAACTCATAAAAGCGCCGTCTATGAAAGCGCAGCACCCACATTACCAAATACCTGCCTATTATTAGTAAAATTACCGATATTTCATTTAAGAAAGCATTCTTTTTGAAGTCATAGTTCTTTTGGCACAAACAGACCCTGTTTTCCAATTAGAGCACTAAAGCGCATTATGGGGCATAATCCTAACTTCGAATGTTTTAACTACCGCAACGCTCCGCTCAATCGAACATTTTGAAAAGTACTGCTTTGGCATGATGCGCGCAAGGATACCAACTCAATAACAGAAAATATGAGAAGTGTTTTTTCTTCAAGGTGGCATTGATCAAAATTTTATTAACTTTATCGTTAGTAATATTTGTATTTATTTTAATAATTATATATTTATTAGTCATATAATATTATTACATATCTATACTAATATTATAAAGAGGTAAGGTTAGTGAATTTGTGACGTAGCAGGGGGCAATCTCTGGATCTACTGAACCGATTTAGATGAAATTTGGTAAGAGGATAGTTTGAGACCCTGGGAAGGACATAGGATAATTTTTATCCAGGAAATCATCAATTAAGGGGGTAAAAATGGGGATTAAAGTTTGTTTCGGAAAGCAAGCTAGGGACTAACCCAAGCGAAGCGAGGGTGAGTGGCTAGTTTATTATATAATTTATAATATAGACGATATGTATTATTAGATATTATAATTTATATACATATTAGTTATATATTTTTTTGAACACTGAACCCACTGCCCTCTGCTGGTGCACTTGAAACCTAATTCACGTTCTAATTAAGCATTAGCACACTTCGGCATTGTGCGCCGAAGTACGGCAATATGCTCTGTAATTTGAAAACAGGGAAAGTTATGACATACGGGATGACATCTTTAGCTATTTTTGTTCTGTTACGCTTACGCCAAAGAAGTATAACTTCTTACGTATACATAAGTACACATACACGTTTTTTTTTCCATAACCAAGAACATTTTTTAATAAGAAAATGCTTCATTGGGATCTATTTTATTAATTTTACTTCTATAAACAATTATTGAACATTAAAACATATCATATTTGATATTAACGACATCACTAATTTTCTTAAATAAAATGTGATAAAATTTCTAATATAATAATCTCTAATAACTACTTGTCATAAAATTAAAATTTTATATAAAGTTATAAAGAATGACATAAAAAAATTAAATACCATTATTCAAGTCAAAAATTAGAGTGATATCAAAAATACCTAAAAATTAGGGCCTCACTCTGCTCTAGGGGATTTTTCTAAAATATGTAGAAATCGGTAGTATAGGTTATTAAAATCGGTATACAAATGTAGAAAATAACTACTAATATAAGTTTATATAGTACTAGCATTGCCCGCGGCTCCGCCCGCGTTCAGATGACCAAAAACCAAGTTCTTAGGTATTACATTGCAGTTTTTGTATTTTTTCTCAGAAATGAGATATTTTCCCGCGGTAAAAAGTCATATATGTTGACCCGGATAACCAGCTTTCACCATACCAAATTTCATCAAAATCCTTCCAGTGGTTTTTCTGTGATGCGGTAACAGACAGACAGACAAAAATTCAAAAATCTATAGATTCGGCCTCTGTATCGATAATAATGTTTATTTCAATAAGATTTTCTAAAAAATATTTAATGTACAGATTCGGCATAGTTACAATTTTATTATATGTATAGATTGTCACCTGTGGCTCTTTTATTGAGGCCGATTCATTTAAATTATATTCAGAACCGTAGGAAAACAAACCATCGTAAACTTAAGCTTATGAATGAGCTTTTATATCAGCCATCGGGAAGTAACTGAAGTAAGATCGAGTTTATTATAACTATCCCAAAGCCCCCCGTTGGTTCGACGCCAATATGACCCCATACAACGGATATGGGACGCCGTCAAGGCGCCAGATAACTTTCTAGCCCGTGAAAGCACAAACAAACGATACCTACCTAAATTAAAATGAGTATGAAAATGCGTACATTTTTTTATAGACGGGTTCAATTCCAGACATAGATAGAAATTATCTTTAGTTAACATAAAAGTAGGTTAACGCCATTCGCAAAACTATATCTATACACTACGAGTATAACTATATCTAAAGATGTAACTATAAATACCTAACCAAACCATCCATTTCATTGAAATTAAATATACATAGGTACCTACTTAATAATTAACGGCCATAGTATGTACCTATATGACCGAAAACGCTATTAATATAAGTAAGCTTCAGTCTGGCCTAAGTTTTACTATTGAGTTTTTCCATTTAAAAAAATCTCAATAACAGCCTGGAGCTTTGGAACTGGCGATGTTACACCCCCGTACCTCGGAACACGTAAAGCCGTTGGTCCTTCGCCTCTCAGTGGTAGCGTCGAAGTATCGTCCTATCGGTATTTGAGAATGAGTAGGACTAGAGAGTGCACTTGTGCTTGCGCGGATACTTGTGTACTATAATATTTCCTGGGTATGGCTAGTCTCAGTAAGATTGGCCGTGGCTCAAATCGGTCTGGACCGCTGGAGTAGAACAAGGCAGAAAAAACTCTCCAAGCAAGTATCTGCAAACAACTATTCGATTCAGTTCCTGTGTTTGCCTATCAAAGCAGCTCATGAAAGAGATAGACGATTAAAAACTTTGAGCTTTACTGTCGTCTTGGAAGGCAGTCCGAATTGTAGGCATTTGTTGGATTTGCATTTTAAAGACAAGAAAATGGGGTTCTTTTCTAGATGCTATTTATTTTCAGGATGAGTGTAATTTACTAGGCGATGTATAATTTTTTTATCATATTTATAATTTATATGTTGCATTATACTGTACTAGTTAAGGCTCACTATATTACTATTCATTGGGCATTTAATATCTTTTAACTTTGTATCAATGCTATTACCAAAATATATAGTTACAGTCGGACCTTCGTTTATTATCAGTACCGTATGGTGACGAAATCGTCACCTTGGATGAGTAATAAAATCGTCACTATCTATGATCGCCGCCAAAAATGAATATTCTTCCCGACAAAATGATTTTTTACCCTCAATAATTTTTTTTGTTTTAAATAAAAAGTGTAAAGGGTTTTTCATAAAAAATATTATGTTTTAGTTTATCTTATTACATACATTTTTAATTAGAAAAAAAAACTTGTTATTAATAACAAGTTTTTTTTTCTAATTAATTGTATTTAAATACATTTTTTGAGTTCTAACATAATTATATTCTCAAAGATAAAGGTCTGTTATCAAATGTTTGTATGATCCGCAATTCAGATTATCTAGTAAATAAGTGGTAAGCCACATTACGTTCAATCTTTTAAATTCAATACAAACGATAAAAGTAGGTAGTATTAAAATAATTCGGGTAATTTATAGATAAATTGTACACGGCAGTTACTAAGAAATTGAGATTAGATTCGAGGTATCAACAAGCTATTAATGTTGATTGAAAAGCTATATATC